CGCGATAAGTCGAACCCAGAAGTTCGATTTCCAGCCGTCGAACTTGCCGGTAAGTGTAGCCAAGGCCTTAGTGTGGATATAGCTTCGTCTCACACAGGATATATAGCTTTGTCTTGTATAGGAACATATAAGTCATCTTTATACCAGAATAGCTGCATCCACACAAGGGCTTTTACTGGTATAACTATACTGTTAAAATCCACTAACTGCATATAGTTATACCAGTATAACTTTTCTAGTGTAGACCAAACCTAAAATCAGGAATGTTTTCAGAGAACAGCATTTTCTCCGGTATAGACAGGGTTTTAGGCCCTGCCCTCTAAACAGATTTTTATCCTGGTAGAGAATTGTGTTGCAAGACAGTTGAGAAGCTATTATGTTAAACTACAAACCCTGCAAACATCAAATTTGATGTGTAAATGGGCTATAAAATTCTGGCCTCTGTACAAGTGGTATCTGCTTTACCTCCTGGGGTAAGGTGAAAGCCTGCTCATCTCATGCCACAGCACCTTATAGCAGGTGATTTATATAGTGATTTGTAGCAGCAGCTGAACAGAGGAGTTAGGTGTTTCCCTGAGATACCACAGTGTAATTATTGCAAGTCAGATGTTACGAACTGCCCTTCTCCCAGAGCAATTCAGTCAAGTTCGAGAGACACCATGTGGTTTTACTATTTATTGAAAACTACAATAGGATCTACAATAGGATCTACAATTACAGCAACCAAGTAAAATATCACTCCCCGTGGTCAGATGAACCGTTTCCTCTGTCTAGAGGAGTCTGTCACATCTACACCACACAGAGAAGCTCTTAACACACTCATATATATCATAGGCTACACTTAAGGTTGCCAGGTGTCCGGTTTTTGACTGGAACGCCCAGTCGAAAAGGGACCCTGGCGTCTCTGGCCATTAAAAGTTCGCTCGACAGCGCAGCAGGGCTAAGGAAGCAGCCAGGGGTCTCCACATGCTGCCTCCACCCCAAGCACCGGCTCTGCAGCTCCCATGGGCCAGGAACCACAGCCAATGGGAGCTGCAGGGACGGCACCTGCGGACAGGACAGCGCACAGAGCCGCCTGGCCACAGCTCTGCATAGGAGCTGGAGGGGGGATATGCTGCTGCTTCCGGGAGCTGCCTGATGTAAGCCCCACCCAGAGCCTGCACCCTGACCCCCCTCCCGTGCTCCAACACCCTACCCCAGCCCTGATCCCCCTCCTGCCCTCCAAACCCTTCAGTCCCAGCCCGGAGCACCCTCCTCCACCCCAAACCCCTCATCCCCAGCCCCACTCCAGAGCCTGCACCCCCAGCCAAAACCCTCACCCCCTTCCGCACCCCAACCCCCTGCGCCAGCCCGGTGAAAATGAGCGAGTGAGTGAGGGTCGGGAGAGCGAGCAACAGAGGGAGAGGGGGATGTAGGGAGAGGGGGCAGGGCCTCAGAGAAGGGGTGGGGTAGGGGCGGGGCCTCATAGGAGGGGCGGAGCAGGGGTGTTCGGTTTTGTGCAAGTAGTAAGTTGGCAACCCTAGGCTACATATGTGCCCTGTGACATACACATACACAGCATGTCCAGACATGCCCAACCATGCCTCCCCCTATTGCTGGAAAACATGAAACACATACTAAAAAGATAAACATTAAAAACAAGAAGGGTAGAGGTGCCTCATCCAGGGGACACAGGAGCATCTAATGGTGCAGCCTGTATGGGGGCTCTCCAGCCCCCTAACACAGGGGATACTGATATGTTTTTTTTTTAAATCCAAGGTTAATTGGAATGGAAAACCCAAGTCTTTTTCCAGCCTGGGTGACAGGCTTACTCAAGAGGGGAATATAATTGACATAATGGTCTAGATAATACTTAGCCCTGCCATGAGTGCAAGGGACTGGACTAGATGACCTCTTAAGGTCCCTTCCAATCTTACAATTCTATATAAACAAAAAGGTCATCTTGGCTAGCTGAGGGTTTGAAAATGGACAAGGCCAGGGAGAGCTAAGGAAAATAGCCCTGATACTGGATTTCCACCAGTGTACTGCCATTGACTTGAAAGGCCTTACTCCTGATTTACTCCAGCACAAAAAGGTAGTCTGTCTATGGGGGAAAGTCTTAACTCCATGACAGTATTTGATGTTCAGATGCCATTCATAAAATACCAGCATTTAATGGTCCCTGCTATTTAATGCAAATATATTTTGCACAGTCTTTCATACGAATTGCATCTCAAACTGAGGTAAATAATACAGGCCCAGATTGTGTCTTCCCAAGGACAAACCCACATACCGTGACACAGCAGGGATTCCCTTGTAAAGCTCTCCCCAGTTGAGGTTGGGTCTATAGAAAATGTTTTAGGGACCACCTCTCAAATCTGATGTATGCCCAAGGAGTGCAAGAAACTCCAGAGATCTGTAGGAGACCGGGGCCATCCAAGCAAAGGCTGTGTGCCTCTGCACCATGTCTAGCCCCAACACCCACTCACTGCAGCTCCCTGGTAAAGCGCTTGTGCAACCTACATAAAGGGGAGGTAAGTCAATTTACTTACTTAATTTACTTACCAATTAATTCTGTGCTACAGAACTCCTCTATCTGATATACAGCAATTGCACAGACCATGAGTTCATATCCTTGTGAGAGACTAGATTTTCTATGGGCACCCTCTACATACTACAAGTGGGAATTATAATAGGATTCACTTTCTTTCTCTCCTTCAGCATTCAGTGGCAGTCTTTGCCGTAAGACAGTTACGCACACACACACACACATGCATAATTAACAGTTTTAAATTTCTTTTTAGCGAATAACACTCCAAAAATAAACCGTTACAACTCAGTTACAATGCTTCCTTGCTAGACTAACATCACTAACTAGAGATTTGTTATTTTACTTTAAAAAGAAGAAGATAGTTCAAGGCCTAAACCTTAAATTATATATATTTATATCTTACAAAATAAATAGATTGGGACTTCTGACAATTGGAGATCTTCTGCTTTCACATAGGCCCTGGGTATTATATTGACAACTAGATAACACCTTTAGTTGTCCCACCTAACCAATTGTTTCAGCATCCACAATATGGAGCACATACACAATAAGACAAACTGACAATTGCATAGTTGTAAGGCTCACACAGTGTCTTTGGTTCCATGATGTAATACAACTCATGAAGACATTTGGCTTCCAATCTACAATTCTTCCTTTATGGTGTTTTCCCAGCCTAAATCCAGCAGATTTTTGTAAGCTTACAGGAAACTGCCCTGAGATCCAACCCACAGATTCAGTCTGGGCTACACTGGCAGGGTT